CGATTAGTAATCGCGCGATCCGGCAAAAATGCCCTCGGCAAGAACGTTTCACGGCCGCGTGATGGCCACGGGCTCCGAGCGCGCGCATCCACGTCCGACCGCGGCGCGTGCGAAATTCGCGATTTCCTCGCGGAAAGAATCACACCGCGAAAATATAACGCGCCGCGCGATCTACCGAGCACGGAACGAACCCGTCCGTAATTCTTTCCCCGTTGCACCGGGCTCGGGGCATTAGAATCGTCTCGCTCGTAGGTAGGAACCGTTGAAGTGCGGGTAATTCAACACGGTGACAACCGTTGCCGCACACACCGTCGAGGACGTGTCCGCGCCCCTCCAGCCACCCACCCTGCCGAGAGACGGAGGGGTGGCCGAATGGCCACGGCGGAAGGGGCATCCCCTACTACCGGATCCCTAGTAACACTAGCTCCCCACTTTTCTCCCTCCGCCTCGCGCTGCCAACGAGGAGGGTCTATAACCGTCCTTTGTCGAGTCGTGCTGCCACCTGCCCAACAGTTTTCACGACCTTGCCCGTGACTGGTCATCGAGCACTTTGGACTATCGCACAGTCTGTCTCGGACCGTATCATGATGTCTGGCATGAGGACGTATCTGATAGTCCTACTGCAATCACCCCGCGATCGACCTGATCTTGTTATTGATTTTCAGAGGAATACCTTATTGGAACCAAACAGGACATTGTAACGCGGTAATGTGAAAGGTTTCTTTATTTTCAGCACCTAGGTATAGTCGTCTATAGACTTATATGACAAGACACAATTGGGGGTGAAGGGTGGGCGGAAGAAAAATCGTTACTTCGCACGACTAGTGCACGACGCATCACTATGCGTTCATATATCGAATGCACAGTCGCGCTCGAATTGGATTGCTGGCAATGAGTTCATCCTTTATTTCAGTTCCAGCAATTCCTCATTGTCGTATCATCGCCAAGGGTTATGGGATCAAGCTCGGGAATAGTGGGGAATCGATCTCGCGATGCGAATCCATTGCGTGTGTCGCGAAATTACACACGCGGTTATCGTATGTTCTCCTCCGAGGGAATCGCGATACCTCTCGATGTCGGCTATAAGCATTAACATATACGTGATGTTCCGTGCAAATAATTGCGTGTTGCCACTAAGCATGCGATGAGCCGCGGCTCGCCCGCGCAATGTTGAATGAGTCCCTCTCGCTTTGCGGTATTACGTGCACTTTACTTATCACGCGCGATCTGTAATTGCACGTTATTGCCAAGACTGACAGCTTTTATACAGATCCTACCCGCGGATCAATTCACGTGCAAAAGGAACACGTCTCTTTTACACGCGTGTATCTTTTCATCTGCTACGACGTGTCGCAGTGCGTTTTACACATTCGCGTTTTACACAGCTGATAAGCATCGCCGATCCACATCGCGTCCATATTCTTCACGTGTGCGTCGCCAAATTGTCAAACGTACCACTTAACGTCTATATGAGCGAGTCCTGCACTCACGAACCTGTGGTAGTCCGGTTTAATTGGTGCGTTCCCCCTAGACGTGCAATCAGACGACAGTAAAGTGATGTTCACGTCAAGCCACTGTGTTTACATATACGGATCGACGTGATATTGATTAGTTTAAGGAGTTGAGTTTATGTCTGGCACATTGATGTCTCATTTTAACGAAGAGCATTATATTTAATGGGACATCTTAGTGATTAGATGTTGAGCAAATTAAATTCTTAATAACATCGCTTGTTACGATCAAACGTACAGCAAAAACATCTAAAAGCACCGAAAATTCGATGCACCGAACGTTGTTCGAGGTCGACGGTAAAGTACTTGGAGTAGAATCACAGTAATCGGCAGGGCAGTACACTATTCCGCGGTAAAACCAACTTATAGCTATTGAAACAACGGCGTCTCTTGTGCCGAGGGATTTTGTACCTCGCGAGACCGTGGAGATGGGAAAAAATCGCGATTCGAGTAGAGACTATTGGGATAGCGGATTGTACAAACACACATAGTCCCATAATCCAGTCCATAACTCATAGTGATCACAAAACGGTCGCGGCGCAAGCACGATACACACGGGCAGTGTTCCTATATCACTCTAGTTCGCTCTTTATCGTGGCCACGGGAACGACGGTTCCAGCGAAGTCTATACCGTGATCTCAATTCAACGTCAATACCCTGCTGGTGGATCACTATTGGATGGGGTTATCGTTCACCCTCCGCGATTCTCCGCATCACCATGAACTCCCAAAGTCGAGCCCAAGTGGATGGATCTTCGATACGATACACGCACGCACAGTAACTCCAATATCGATGCGTAACATCGGTCGGCAGCTTAGTTTCCGAGTTGTAGTTTAAAGCGGCTACGTCGACGCTATGTCTGTGCACGTCGACAAATTCAGCGTCGCATTCGCGGAAAGTCGGCGCCACAGGGACGACCGGAGGAGTAGGACGGAGGTAAGGTGGAGTTGAAGCGCGAAAGAAGGAGCGATGAGAGGAGAAGAGAGGAGAGCGGCAGCGTCGCGAGAAGAGAACGACGGGGAGAGACTTTCTACGTGCCGGTATTCCGCGATGCACTCACGAAGGAAGGCGCTCACACGCGCTCACCCGTGCACGTACAGCAGCAACGCCCTCTTAAAGAAAGCGCGGTGCAAGGGGGCGAGGAGGGCCGGACGCGCGAGCTGACGCGGCGAACTCGAAGAGGGGGAGGGGGGCAGAGTTTGCGCGCGATTGTGTGTAGACCGCGGTGTTAACAAACGGTACACTAATGTTTCACATCTCGGTGTGTATCCCCCTTCTCCCTTACCTCCCTACCCGTTCTCTCTCTGTCTTTCTCTCTTCTACTTCGTCTCGCTCGTCCCGGTCACGCCGTCCCGGTCGGCGGTCTCGCTTCCTCGACGAGCTCCTTCGTCGCTATGGCTGTGGCGAGCGAGAGTGCGAAGTAGTAGTTTGGCGTGCCATGCACGTCGCAGGGTGACGAGAGAGGCAACGGCGTCACGAGTTTCAGTGGTAGTCACTCTCACCGTGCTACAACTATCCTGGGGTGGAGGGGACGAGAACGAAGGAGACGAAGGCGGGGCGAGGTTAGTCCGCGCCCACGGAGGGGAAAAAAGCCGAGCTCCGCACCCACTGTGGCGCGCTGGAGGGGAGACGAAAGAAGTGTGGAAGGGGACGATTTATCCGGCTCCTCTTTGCGCTATCCCCTACACCCTATACTCGTTGGCACCAACACACCTACACAGCATACCTATATGGGATGCACTCATGTGCCTCCGTGTGAGCGCTCTCGTGCGCGCGTGTGTGTGCGTGTGTGTGCGCGCGCGCGTACCTTCTGCAAAAATATCATTGCCGACAGGTATGTATGTGTGTGTGTGTGTGAGCAGTTCGTGCACGTGTGAGCGCAACTGTGCATGTCGTCGATCAGTCGGCGAAAAATATTGGTGCGTCCTCTTTCCTCATTCCGCGAACTTCCTCATCCCAAAAAGGTTCCCCACCACAACCTGAACGGCGGATATGCTTCCGCACCCGTGACCCGCCACCTTCAACCTCCTCTATCCGCCCCCTTTCGTCGTTGGTCGCGCCGGGAACGCGACAAGTACGCGCGAGGAGGCGAGTTCCTTGGAAAGAACCAGGCGAAACATCGCACAGCGCCTTACCCAAAGTCCTTGTCAGCACCGCGATTGTAGCACGTTGAACTTGGTCGCGATATCGTTGGTGAATGTTTACGGATTGCGTTCGATTTGCGTTCAATTGTATAACCGGCGTGTCGTTAGAAAAAAAAAAGATTGATCACCCGTCCATAATATTGGATTTCACATTAATACTGGATTCCGCGCCGATATAAGATTGATTTGATTCAACTGAGTTTGGTTCTAGTTCTACGGAGAAATAGTGATATCAGGTTACGAAATCTCAGTATGGCAATCTGACGAGATGATTGACGCATGGAGCGCGCGATGGGACGTTCGTGCGACATTGTTGCGTTAAACTGTCGGAACGAGCGTAGTACTCCGCGTAAACGCGTTCGTGTAATACGCTTGCCGAGTGACGATCGTGCAGTTCGCGGTGTAAACGCGCGAGCGAGACCGACTAGGTCGCAGGTGGGAACGAGACTATGAACGGTACCCGAGTGGAAGCGAGAGAGGTTGATATACTAAGGTAGGCGAGAGGAGAAGAGAGACACGGACGTGGGAAAGAGACAGAGACGCGAAGAGAGGAAGAGAGAGAGAGGAACGGAAGTTGGTGTTGTAGTCAAGTGTCACGTAGTGCGTGGAATAAGGAGCGGCAGGTAGCGGCATCGGCGCTGATGCCGGGCACAGGAAGGGGCACGAAGTAGTCGGCGATCTTGTCCTGGCTTGGAGAAGGTGGAGGAGGAGGAGGAGGAGGAGTGAGAAAGAGAAAGAAAGAAGACGAGAGCAGAGAACCGATGGTGGGGACACGTCGGGGTGTGCGGTCGTGTCCGATGAAGAGGTGGAGGAGGAGGAGGGTGGAGAAGCAGCCAGCAACGGCGGGGGAGAGGGCAACGAACAAACTACCGGGAAGAAGTCAGCGGCAAGTAAAGCAGCGCCGCCGAGGCTAAACTTCGGGATCTATCGAACTAAAATTGTCGTGTAGTTTCTGCCTTCGTGCCTCCCACCTCTCCCCCTACCCCCCTTTCGTTTGCCCCTTCCGAACGCTACCAACCGCTCACTCTTCTCGCCCCACCACAGCAGAGCGTGGCAGCATCTCGGCCGGTCGCGTCCCCCTCCGTCTCATTCAACCCATCCCCTCCACGAAACGAAAGCCGAGAACGAAGAGGGAAGAAAGCGCCTACGGTGGGGCGTCACGAGGAACGAGACGGGTGTGCGAGGGAGTGAAAGCGCGCCATCGGACCGTCGGGCGCACGAGCGAGATGCAAAAACTGAAAGAGAAAAGGGGGGAAAAGGATGGAAGAGCGACTCAACGAGAGTGAGGAGGGGAGGAAAGCAGGGAGCGCGTTAGCCGAGCCCCACGAGCGACTCACCATATTTTATTGTCGCGTTTGCCGACGCTAACCGCCGGCTCCGTGCTCGATCGACGAGGGAGGATGCCGACGACCCGAGCGGAAAGAGACGAGAGCCACGCACGACACTCGGCCTGCTAATACGAGCCCGCGGTACGAATTTGCGCGGGTACGACGAGGTGGCGGCGGAGCGGCATCAGCGGCAGAGGTGGTGCCCGCACCCCCACCAGAACACACGCCGTGTCGACCTGGACCCTCCCACCCGTCTCGCCGAGGGCAAACCATCTCGCAAAAATCGTCCCCCTTTCCGTGGAAGGAAAAGAACCACGGCGACGACTCTGCCACTGCCACCACCACCACCACCACCACCATCAGCGGCGAGTCGAGCGTTTCTCTCGTCATCGGGCCACCACCACTAGCGCGATACTATCGTCACCGCCAGCGCCACCGGCACTGTACGTACGGGTCGCCTCCTCCTACGACACCGCGATCAACCGTCATCTCGCGGAACTCGTGGATACGACGGAAACTTACAAACTGCGGCCACGTCGTTCTTCCGCGAAGCGAGGATACGTGCCGATCAGCAGTTCTGTCATTGGACCTCGGTGAAACTCGTTTCCAGCCAGAGTTTCATTTTCGCCAGTGACAATCGCGTATTAGTGCACACCGGGATAATGGGTAAACGTTGAATTGGATTTTCGCGTTGCGCATCGTTTGAAAAAAAGAAGAGACTTTGCGGAGGAACTGTGAGAGGGAAAGAGAGAAAAAAAGAGAAAAAAAGAGAGAGAGGGAGAGAGAAAAAGAGAGAAAGAAGAAACGAGAGAAATCGAAAGAGAGAGAGGGAGGGGGGAGAGAGAGAGTAAAGGAGGATGAGATAAGAGGGAGACAATAAGGCCAAGCAGGAACAACGGTGTCTATCCTGATCGTTGTCGTGTTGGAACACAAGAGCGTACAACACGCGGTAGAAGCCGCGTCAGTTTGTACTTGGCGCTTTCACGAAGCGCGCGATCGGTAGCGCCACGAAGAGCCACGATCGGTGACCGGTCTTCAACGGCGGCGGTGGCGGCGGACGAGCCGAAGAGGAGGAAGAAGACGCACTCGCCTCTCTTTCGCGAGTTCGCAGCGCGTGATTGCGCAGGCCGCCGGGCGACCGGCTGCGTGGAAGGACCGTGAAGGATAAAAAGAGACGGCCAGTGTACGCGATCCACGTCGTCCTCACCATCCTCCCTCACGCATACACCCACACACACACACATCATACTCTCTCTCTCTCTCTCCCCCGTTCACTCTTCTCCTTCTCTTTCTCCATTCTCTCACTCTTCCTCCGTCCTCCTCCATCGTTCCTCTCCTTTTTCAGCGGTGTCCCTCCGACACCCTCACTCGCTACTACCTCTCTCTCTCTCCCGCCTGCTATCCCCCTTCCTCCCCTGCATAGCCCGTCCTGCCGTCCCTCTAGTGTTCGCTCGCTCTCACTCCCTCCTCCCTCTATCACGTCTCTCCAGCTCGCTCCCTCTCGCCGTTGCCGTCTCGCTCGCGCCCACGGCCGTGCACCTCCGCCTTCCTATCCGCCGAGCGAAGGACTGGATTCCGTCGAAAAGAAACGACGATTCGGAGGATAGTCGCGACCGATCATAGCTGGCGCGGTGATCGGATCAACCGAGTGAACTAGCCGCCGCGATTAACCGCATCGCGCGCGTACGAACGCCGACACGTACGTACGTGTAATACACGTACGTACGTACGTATTCATCTACCTACCTATCTACGTACGTTCACCACGCATCGCGCGCTGCGCGTGTCCGTGCCGCGCGTCGCGCGACTTTTTTCCGCGACGTCGGTACCGCGATTCGCGACACCCCGACAGTGTGCCGGCGGCGGCTCGCTCTCTCTCTCTGTCCGCGGGAAAGGACAGACCCACCGCCGCGCCTCCCCTTACAAGCTCAGCGCGAGTGTGACCACAGTGCGTGCGGACTGTTGACGACTGTCGGCTGACAGTTCGACTTCCCTGTGGAGTATTGCATCGTCCGCGACGACGACGTCGACGTCGGCGACGACGATTGCGACAACGACGACGACGACGACGACGACGACGACGACGTCGACAGCGGCAACAAACCGCTACCGGTTCCGCGGAAAACTGTCTATTGCTAGCTACTCCGAGGACTGTCCGGTCTCGCCTGCGTGCTGCTACAACTTGCCAACGTCGCGTGTGACAGTGCGAGTGCATATGCCGGCAGCGGACCGCTTGGCAGGATCGCAGGATCGAGCGCAGTCGGGCACCGAGCCGCGACGCCGGAGCACGCGGGAGTGTCGGCGCGAGTAGCACCCCCGGGGGGTGGCGCAGCCACTACACGCGACAGATAGAGGCTCCTCGCACCCGCGCCCCCGCGGCATAAGAGCATCGAACGCGCTAGTGAAAGAGAAAATAAGAGGAACGGGCGAAAGTGTGACAGATAATCCGTCGCGAGGTGACCGAGCGAGGTGTGCACCGGGAGGCCACGCGAGGCACCTGGCCGCAGATGCCGCGGACTGGAAAGATGATCGCGTAGCGGTGCCCGACTAACACGGCCCTGAGCGGCCGACACATCATGTCACAGTTCTCTTTCCGAGGATCGCCAAATCTACAGGTGAGCGTTCGCTCCATCCACTTCGCGAGAAAGCTCCGCCGAGGAGTTTTCGCGCGAGATGAGCCTACGCGTCCACTTGCGAGTCGAAATCCGCGCGCGCGCGCGATTCTGCTCCCATCAGCTTGTGGTGATCGGTGTGCTCCGACACCGAGTGGAGGAAACGTGCGACTCACATGCGCGACAACTGCGCGATGTATTCGCAAGTGGATGTGTATGAAACATGTGAGGTTTATCACGGAGATTCTCAGCCCGCGGCGAGATGCCGGAGAAAGTGTGCGTGTGTGTGCGTGTGTATGTGTGTGTGTGTGTGTGATTGACGCGTTTTACGATAAGATAATTCGATAAGATCGACGGCAGAGAGTCGATTAGCGCAGACGATGCGGGCGGATGTGTAAATCGAAGTCGATCGGTGATCGTTATAATCGGAGCGCGTTTGCCTCGACATGGCACGCCGCGAATGTTAACGACTCCCGTTCGCGCTCCGAGAGCTAATTCATTTCGCTTTAGCGGCTCGTGCCGAAGAGTTACGCGTTAGTTAACGCTCATCGCGAGTCTTCCAAAATTTACAAGGCACATCCTGGTAATTATGCGAGAGCAGTGAACCTATAGTTTCGTCGACGAAGCCGCGCGAATTGAACGCTGTCTCTCCGTGGCTGACACTTGAGCGGGACGAGAAGGAGAAATCAAAGATTCGTGCGTCACTCTCGCCGCACGTCTTTGTAACGCGGCTCGCAATATATATCGTGCAAATCTCATAATTGCAATGCAAGACAGACGATTAAATCAGCGAAAACCCGTGCGTTATGTAAACGCCTGACCGATGGTCCCACTACTCGACACTATTCTATTTTTCTCTCTCATTTGTATAACAAACGCGTGTCTTAAATATATTATTAATAATCAGGAAAAGAGCGAGTTTCCACCACTGCTCGATTGTTTCTGTTTTTCTGTATTTCGGAGCGATTTTTTTCAAGGAAAGTGATTTTTAAAAATGAAAATACGCGCGGTGTCCAATTTCGTGGCAAATTGTACAGTTTGGAACATCCAATTCGCTAATATTAATTAATTAAGAAGATTAACGAAGACTGATAGTATGTCCGAGCTTTTCTCTCTTCTCCTTTTTCCAGTCGATCGCCCGGCTTTTCATCTGTCCCGGCTCGACTGTGTAGACTTACGTGTCGCGCGCGTTAGAGGACGGATTTCTGAAAGACGAGCGTTACCATTACGGGCGTTCAGTCTCACATCGACGGCTAGTCCTGTCGGAAAAGGAGCACCCAAGATACACCGCAACGAATCCATCCGGGTGTTCCCGCGAAAAGACTGGGCGGTCGTTTATGAAAATAGTAAAATAAGTTTCCGCATATCAACTGGAATGGCCGTCGCAAAGTGTGATTGCGGAAAAACAGTACGGTTGCCATCGCAAAAACATCTAACCTTTGAAAAAGGAGCAGCGGACACATTCTTTTCTTTCCCACACAAGTCGCAGTCGAGACGCGTGCCCGATACACGTGTACAGAAATCTAATGCTCGATACACTTACGACACAATTGAGTCATTATTTCTTTCTACCGAATTTCTTACAGAATATAATCCCGATCGCGCATTTTCCTATAGACTTGGGTCGTATAATTTTATCCATGTTGCTTGAAAGTCAAATGTAGTTAATGATTAAACGCTTAGGTAACATGTACGTACATACATATGTCAGTTCCCATATGGCCTCGTACGCGCGCGCACACGCACACACACACACACACACACACACACACGCACCGAGGGGTACACATAGTGCGCGACAAATGCATTCCTTATTATTAACTGTGATCGTGCGAGGTGAAACATTGTCGGCTCGATTGCGACTTCGCGCCGGTTAACCACGACACTGTCGTCATCGTGCAGAAATTACGATTGGCTAATTTCGGATCGCGGACCTGTTGGAGGTAGTCGGGCGGGCACGCAGAGGCGAACGGGCGGGCGGGCAGCTTGTTACTAATGATTTTCGCCATTAAAATCACGATGCGTGAGACGCGTCGTTAGCCATTTAACTTCGCGCGAAGCTCGTTTCGGCCTCGCGAGGCGTATCGAATAATTTGTAGGGAAGAATCCCTCGCGCGCGCGCTCGAGAGGGGGCGGAGGGAGAGGGTTGCGAAAATGAATAGCCGCTGGCAAGCCTGAGAGGTTCCGCACCACGTGTCCTGACACGCTGCGCATATAGGTATACCCCGCATATATGCCGCACATAGCGCTGAACTGAGAACATGTGTTGCCACGCCTAAATGATCGAAGAGCCCCGGAGCTCGGCGGAATAATTATCTTGTCTTACTAACAACGAAGGTTTTTGTCATAATAGCAGCATCGCATGCTGCCGCATTTCGCCCGTATCTCGAGAGTGACAACCAATGCGTGCACTCGCTCGCGCAGCACTCTTTCTCGTCGTTTTTCTCCCTTTTTCTCTTTTACCTTCCCCTTTCTGCTGCTTCTCTTTCTCTCTCTCTCTCTCTTTCTGTTTCTGTTCTCGTAATGTAATTTGCAACGACGTTGACGTTGAAATTCGAGCGAGCTTTCTGTCAACGATATTGCGCGTCACGCGAGCTCCGCGAGACGTCGTTGTTAAGTGAGCTAAACATCGGCGAAGCGCCTGTTGTCGCAATAAGCGCGGGCAAAAGTCCCGAGGAATATCGGGGAAACAACGGAGAAGCGGCAGCGCGCGCGTTACAAGCGCTTCGCGCTGTTAAAGCACTGATAAAATTGAACGGCCGGTTATCAGCGAGTGTTACTCCACTTACAGCGGAGTCAACGGAGAAAAAAGGAAGAAATAATTATGTTAGTCGGTGTTATATACTTTATCGCCGACACACTTTCGATACGCGAATCGTTAGACAATAACGTGTCAACTCGCCGGGCGATTTTTCTTCGCTCTCTATCTAATGTCCGCGCGCGGTACATTCACACTCGTAACGCTCGTATGAAACATTAATCACCGATAGTATACGTGAATTATATCCTCTCAGCTTTCTCTCTTTCCCTCTCTCTCTTGAGATCTCTTTCTCTTAAAATATCTCTCTCTCTCTCTCTCTCTCTCTCTCTTTCTCCCTCTCTCTCTTCTCGTGTCTTCACTCGTCAGAAATAGATTTTCCCATTCCTAATCCAACCTATCTTAAGGGACCGGAGTTTCCGCCCGAGAACTAAAGAATGAAACTCAATATTATTATCCGCCCCGTAAGAAATTATTATCCAACGTCCTTTTGCGCGACTCCTATTGGCCTAAAATTAATTTTCCCCCCGAGGAAAGCGCGTGGCTGATAACGAAAGAAAAAATCGCTCGAAACTGCTCGCCGCTGCTTCGCGCTCCCGTGACTCCCCTCGTTATCTCGACCCCCTTATTAATTAAGGAACACTTATCGCATTATGTCGATCTCGGTAACTGCCGCGTATCGATGATGCAACGAGGCGTTGTGCCCGGGGAAATAGTTGGCGGCGGACTGCAAAAGAGTGAGACACACGCATACACACACACACACACACGTTCACACGCTAAAATTTATCATCGCGTAAATTTATTACCGCTAAGTGTTCGCAGGTGTCCGTAGCAAATTTCGACTTCGAGTTGACAATTCGGTCCTTCGTGCTGTTTATTTTTTCTCTCCCGGTTCCGTCGTTTTCCCCGTCTCTTTCGCTCGTGTTCCCTGCTCTTCTTTTTTTTTTCACGTTGCATATTGCACATGACGAGTACCCAGACTTGGCGGGCACGACAGCGGAGCGATATTGGCATTGACCACCGCTCAAATTAATCCGCCGCGCGTTGATCCGACACGTCTCGAGCGGTGCGGACGCGTCGGTCGACGACGACGACGACGACGACGTGGCGCGGGGCGCGCGGATGTTCTCGTTCATCGTTTAATTCCGGCTTGAAAAATTGTCGCGCCATAAATACAACTGTCCTTTTTTTAACGCCGTAAAAACCGCGACACTCTGTGCCCCGACGAGGGCCGCTCGCTCGCTTGCTCGCGACACGGCACGGCGCGCCGTGGCATTAAATTTAGACCGCGGTGGAATTCATATCACTAATCTGTGTCGGTCAATTTAATTGAAATAACGACCTCTTCGACCTGGCTCGCCCGTGTTCTCACTGTCGCGCTCTCCGCCTCGCGTCGGAGATTTATTTTTGGGTTACCACGAGGAGCGCGTCGAAAGAACGAAAGAACCAGGGCGTCGACGTTGTCGACGTTGTCGTTGTCGTCGTCGACGGCGGCGTATCGAAGAGCCGCCGCCTAGAGGCGATTTCGTCGCGGTTAACCTTGCCGTTTTCCATCGCGCTTCCGAAAGGTTGCGACACACACCGCTAACTCGAGGTTAACCACGGAGGCGGCGGTGGCGGCAACGACGACGACGACGACGAGCCGAGACCGAACGATATAAATTCAAGTTTATGATCGTGCCTCCAAGTGATCTCGCTGTATAAAAAAAGTATCAGCACGCGAGTAATGTCGATAATGGTGAAACAGGCTCGAAGACGTTTCTTCTTGTGCGCTTGAACCACCTTGACACACAATCCAATACACCAGTTATGACGACAGCGAGATTAGACGCGGCGATGCTTGATAACGGTGCACCGAATTAACCCAATTGCGGACGAAGATGAATCGGATATTCGCGCTTGGATGCTCCGGACTCACTCGCTCGTCGTTTAGCCGGCACCGTGGCTTTGAAATATACGAGTTCCGGAGTTATTGGGCGACCCATGAGTCACTCCGGGAGTCTTTTGCGAGAAAGATACGGAGAGTGAGAGAGAGAGAGAGAGAGGCAGAGAAAGACAAAGAAAAAGAGAGCATTTCATAAACATAATTCTTTCATAGGTTATTCGCGACGCTTCTCACTTGAACGGCTCGAAATTGTTTCGAGAATGTTGATGTGGAATTTCAAAGAGTGAACCGGTCGAATTTGTGGAATTAGCTTGCGGATTCTGGACTCGATAAGTGAGTGTCGCGGCCATGAGGTGT